AAAGAAAAAAAAATCAGCTTAAGCTCAACTGTAAAACACACTTAGGATTTAACCTTTAAGAAAGGGTAATTAGTAGCTAGCTTTACCAGGAATAAGAAGGTGCGGACAACTTCATTTCTTCATTTATTACATCCTAGTCAAAACAGCATCACTGTTCAACAACAAACAGGTGAGATCTGATCTCAACTGGAAGCCTATGACAGTTAATGGTATAGATATTAATTCACAGGGGATTTCATTTAGACACACCACACTTTTTATTTAAGTTTGCCCAATTCTGAATTTTGTTTTCATTATGAAATAACTTGATGAAGAAACACAATTGAATGGAATTAGATACACTGTATCAATTGTGTCTGTTGATTTGCTGTGATTTCATGATTTTATAGAATGCTGGAGTTATGAGATGTCACTGCATGGTAGATTAATTTTGTCCCACAGATTGGCCAAGGTATTTCCAGCTATGCGGATAGACCTAACGGAATATGGCTTCTGTCACACCACACCTCAAAAGACAGAGTTTTTTCTATTACAGGTACCTATGCAGACGCTTGTTTTTACATTACTTGGACCTTTGTGCTCACCTGGAGACATGAAACTTCTGAAACTCTCTACTGATGTCTATAACTAGACTTACAATTACTATTAGTATAGCAGCAGTGCCTGGGACCTCCAAAGCTGAGTACCTATATTACAAAACCCAAAGCTTTGTGTCAGAAAGCTTACAATATAAATGAAAGATAGACAGAAAAGGATACAATAAGCGAACTGGAAAAATATAAGGTAAAAGGGAAAACACAAGATAAAGGGGAGTTTTAAAGAATGGTTAAAAAGTGAATAAAGAACACATTAGTAGATCCTGCTGTTAGCTTCTTCACCAAAGGACCTTCTACACATGCATGAGAAATCATAGCTCAGAGACATTATTTGGGGAACCTGACAAGTGAGTTGTAAGTGTGATTCTAAATAAACTGACTAGTGAATAAAAATATACAGGAGGATGTTGATCCATTTAAAAGTACTTGCAAAAACCACATAGATAGAATAATTTTTTTAAGGAATATTTATTTTCAGTTCCATTTAAACAACCCACTTTTGCAACATTTACTAAAATCTTTAGGAAACATTCTAAGAAATTTCAGGATTATAGCCACAGGGGTGAACTAAATGCATTTCAGTTCTGCAGATTAAAATACAGAATATGTTTGTATCATTCTGCATTTTATTATGTTGCTGCCTTTTGGTATGCTTTACATTAAAAATACATGACTGACACTCTTTATACCAGTAAGCATTTTTATTGAAAAAAAATATTATTGCATTAAACTACATTCCCAGGAATTCCTTGAATAACCTAAAAAAAAAGCTGCTTTGCATGTACAATAGTGCAATTCACTTAGCTACTGTATAATATAAAACACTTTATACAGAGAATACAAAACAAAATTACTAGTTTACATATTATACTAGCCAAAGTATTATCCAGTTTTGAATATAAACTTAACACTTTAAAATCAATCTGGTCAAATTGCATTTTTATGCAAATCTGCACAACAAATACACATTAAATGTATTCCCGAAGTGCCTCAGTTACCACAAAACCAAACCAAACCGAAACCAAAAATTTTTTATCATTGTGTAACTCAGGAAACTTTTGTTGCTGGAATTTTACAGTGTGGGTGACCTGTTTCATTGGATGTATCAAGAATATACAATCAAGCTAAAATAGTTTATTAACTTGGAGTGTATATATCACTTCCACCAGGATACTGTAACTCTTTTAAAAATCAGTCTAAATAAAATAAAAATTGTAGCACGGCTCCATACATCAGGCTCAGTTATGCTTTTAATAATAATAATAATAACGATACATATTTAAAGTACATTACTGATGAAAAACAAATACGGCAGCAAGTAGAGCAAATATATAATCTCAGCTGTGACGATAATTTTGTTACGTTTCTCCAAGAAAATCCCTTCTGTATACTAAGAACGATATTGGACATTCCCTTTGTTGGTAGTCAATGATTGCTGTTTTGCTATTGTGCTGTTTCTGTTCCTTCTTAATCTCTCTTTTTTCCATCATTATCTCTCAAAATCCTAATTCCCATTGTTCCAAGAATTAAATTTAGTCTTTATTGTCTGTTCATTTGCCTTACCAGATCATCCTTGTTGGTATATACAATGATGCATGGACATCCTATGATTTGGTTCCTTCCTAGAATCCCATTATATTGTGCATACATTAAGGGAAACATATATAACTATTTTGCATAAATGATCTATGTAGTAGGATATTGTTAATTTCAATTGGTCAGGTTTCTTGCCATAGGAATTTGTACAATATTAACATTGCCTGTAAGAAGCAGACATACAAGATGTGTGTGTACACATTAAAAATGAGATTAGCCTGTCAATTCTTCTGTTCCATTTTTTTCTCTTGGTGTTATCTACTTAGGATTCAAATGAGCTCTGATATATAATGAGAATGGTTGGTTTTTCTTGAATAGGAATGGAACTGGGCCGATAAATTTAAAAGGTTGAAGGGCTAGAAATGCATCTTTTAGGCTGGTATTAACCCTGAACTGGTGGTGCTGGCTGTGCAGCTCAGTCAGCCTCTTCTAGGGCACAGGTTGACCTGCTCCTTTAAAAAGTCCAATTCAGAGTGTTTCTACAGAATTATAACTAATGTTTCCAAGTGGTCCACTGAATGAGGGATCTCCATTCGAGCAAGCAAGTACTAATTTTCAGAGGTGTTAAGTCACATTCAGTGAAATATATTTGAATCTCAGAAAATAAAATTTCAGAAGTTTAGAAATTATATGTAAACTCAGATCAAGTTTTGGGAAGATTTTCAGCCAAAAATGAAAGGAAGAATTTCAAAACTGTGGAAATATTTACTTTTAACATCTTTCCCAATGAAAATTTTTAACTTCCTTAATTCTGAAGCAATAATTTCAATTAGAGAAGTCCCTTACAATTAAAATGAGAAAATTAAACCATAAAGACAAGTAACTCCAAAATGGCATGAATCCATTAATGAAATTAATAAATCAGCTGAGAATCCAACCAAAAGATATTTGACGGTGATGATTTCACCAACCTTTTGCAATACAAAAGTGTTTTGCTTCTGCTCAGTCTCCAGATTTTTTCCTGACAGCTTTTATTTGATGGCTAAACTGTTAAATATTGAAAGAAACTTTACTTTGGAAATACAAAACAAGCAGTCACAACTTGTAAAGCCATTTGAAAAGTTTGGCATAATACCAGTTTATGCTGAAGCAGTTGCTTTTAGAAATTAAAACAATTCCATTTTATTGCAATGGATCAATCTAGTTCGATTAAAACTAAGTTAGAAAATTGGTCCTAAATTTGTATTTTAAATACTCAACTTAATTGCAATTAGATTTCTCAGTTTCTTCAGATAGCCAGATATAATAGAATAAAATCCTCCAAAAGTTTTTAGTGTGTTTTATATCATTTCTGAAAGATACATAATTAATTGTGCACTACATTACTGCAAATGAATGAAATTATTTCAAGTATTTCTAATCCAAACAAACAGTTACTGTCTGTTGGATGCTTCACTGTCCAGTTATAGGGGGAAGCATGCCTGTAGTCTAAACACAATTATGAACTTAACTTCATGCTAAATATCCCATGTTGACTTAGAAACACTATAAAAATAGTCAAAATGTGCCATTCAAAGAGATGCTGAGGCCCCCACCTGTTTCCAGATACGCAGTTATTACTAGCAGTTTCAATCACACATTACCCTGAAGGTTGGATACATGCATTCAGACATTGCAGATTCAGAACTTCAATTTGTATGTTGAGAGTTTGGGAAGCCATGCGAGATTCTTGACGTACTTGTTTAGATTCACTAGACCTTGAAATGCCGAGAACTGTGGCATGATTTTCTATGAGACTTGACCTGGAGAGCCAGTTTCCACTCAGAATTTTACTTCTGCTTTTTTATGAATATCAGCATGACTTTATAGGACCAGACAATCATTTATGTTGTTTGTGAAAGGGATGAAACATATTTACACATTCTTTGGGCAAGACTCTCCCACACATCAGAGCTGGTAGGAAAGAAGTGTTGCAGTCTTGGACGAGGACCTCTGAAATTCAAAGCCAGCACTAGCTGCTTGGCAACTCTGGGCTGCTGCAGCCCACCCTGACGTACCCTATGCTACAGCCACAGGCAGGCAATGCCAAAGAATTTGGCTTCATCCCCTTCTTTCTGTTTCCTTCATGGATGCTTGTCTTGGAGAGAAAAGTAGCAGCCTGCTTGTGCCAGCACAGAGCTCCCTACACTAGGAGAATTTTTTGTTATGTACTTGTGTCCAGACTGCAGTCCCTTTACACTGTCCAAGCAACATATCCCAGGGATAAAATCACTAAAGCATCTTTGAGGTGTTGTTGTGACCTTCTTGTTCCAGTGTTAACTCATCATCTCTCACTCTGAGGCTCCCCAATTCATTTTTGCTAGGAGACAGAACCAGGGACTTGTGGTCCTAGAGGATACCTTCTTTTTTGCTTAGTCTGAAATACCTTAACCAGACCAAGTACTATGCCATTGCACATACACATTCAGAAAAGCAAACCTTTGAGGTATGTCAAGATTGCTCTACCTTAAATTGTGCTACTTTAAATCACTCATCAGTGTTGATATTCTTGGTCCTGTTGAGTCTGCATGCTGTGGTCCCGTTCCTATTGACAGTCACAGACCTCACTTCTGGCTGTTCTTTCCAAAACTTCTGTAGAATGACACTAGCTGGACCCCATCCTCCTTGGGATAGTATCACGAAAGGCTTTAAAACTCTTTTACTCAGCAATACGAGAACAAAATCAACATTCATATGCTGTCAGCCAGAATGTGGACTTCAAAATATTTGCTCAGCAAAACAGTAGATTTCCCCTCAGACATGTGATTGAACACTGAATAATTTATTTTATTCAAATTTGGGTTTGGAGCCATGGTGTTAACATTTGGGCTAGTTTAAATAGCTAGAAACACTGAAAACTTCTTTTATTGTAGGTAACTGTTGGGTCTGGCTAGAGAAAGAATAGTGATGAGGCTCTTGCCCTTGGAATAATGGATGAGCTAAGGGATTTGGATGTATAGAAGAAGGTGTGGCTGCATTCAGGTGTGGTGTAAATAAGGCTGGGATGTATGCAGCGTGCGGCAGTGCAGGGAAGGTCAGTGGTGAAGGGTGGAGGGGGGTGGTGGAAAACAAGTGCAATGAGTGTCCTGTCAGCAAAGCAGGGTGGGAGGGAATAAGGGCTGGCGCTAACGGGGAAAGTGATATGGGGGCAAAATGTGCCTGAGAGAGCGGGTGGAGGTGTGCCAGGGAGAGGTGGCTGCTGTGAGGATGTACAGATGCTGAGACAGCAAAGCGTTGCAGCAGTGCGTGGTGGATGGTGGTGACAGTAGCATGCTGCTGAACAGGGAGGGCAGGAACTGCTGGTGTTGCAGAGAAGGCAGCTGGTCCTGGGGCAGGCAAAACTTTCAGATGTTTTGCCAGAAGTTGTTTCTGCACATGCTGCTGGGCTTGCAGCTGCAGCAACTTGTATTTGTCTACTTCCTCTGGTGAAAATGTGACAGGCTGCTGCGTTAAAGGAGGGGAGGTGGATTTACTGTACACTTCTAGGTCATTTACTGTGTCATCATACTTCTGCATAGCATTGTCACAAAGACAGCCTGAACTGCCTTCTGCCCGGCTCAAGTCCATGTTTACATCATGTAATTCTTCTTTGGTCTCTGTTGAATTAGCAACAACAGGGTATCTATTAGAGGGAAAAGCACCAGGGAAATCATTTGGTACTGGGTCACAGCTTTGTATAAAGGGTTGCACTTCACTAATGAAGAGATTGGATGGTTCCTTTATTGCTGTGTTCCTTTTTATGCTCGGGCTCTGATAGCCTGTTCCTATTTGAATGATGTCTTTAAAAAGACAATGATCATAATCAGTGCCTGTTGAAAGAGCAGCATTAGTTATCTCTGATGTTTCAAAGTTGGTTTTCTTCACACTGTTTTCCAACAAATTGATTTCATTATGCCCTGTGTCATTATTACCTACGCTTAGCAGTTTCTCTGGCAAAGGTAACATTGCAATGTCATCTACTGATGATGAAAACTGAAGAGCAAAGTGACTTCGTGAGCGATCATTTAATTCTACCCCACAAGTGTTTGAAAATCTGTCTGAATTGTGCATTTGTTCCTGGGTTTTCTTGGACTGCACTTTTTCTAAAAGTAACTTGGCTGTCAGTGACTTTCTTTTTCCACATATGTCTTTTGCCAGGGTTTCAGAAGAGCAGGTGGCAAAGTTTTTTGACTGACCATTCACGTTCAGAGAGTCGTAATGTGCAGCTCCAGCTTTTTCCGGTTCGTTGTTAGAACCTCTTTCTGTATCCTCTTTTGTTTTGTTGTGACAGTTGTCAGTCTCTTTTGAGAAGGATCCTGAACTGCTAGCTCTTGATTTTCTGCTACAAGATGATCTTTCGCTGCTTCTTGAATCTCTGGTGGAACAACTTTTGGAGATATGGTAGCTTCTACTTCTACTACGCACTTTGCCAAAATGCTGGTGTCTATGTCTGCTATGTTTAGATCTGTCTCTGTGTTGTAAAACTTTATGTCTTGAACATCTTCGATATTTAGTTGTTCCCCTCTGTGTACAGTTTCTAGTACTGTGACTTCTACTATGACAAAGATAATCCTCATCTGTATCATCAGAAGTGAAAATACACTTGTGCTTTCTATGTTTACATTTGTGCCTTTCAGCCACCTTGCTCTTTCTTTTACAACAAAAAGGGAAATGATTTCTGTGATTGTTTGGTGTGGGACTCACATAGCTCATGCAGCTACTTGTACCGCTAACTGAAGTGTCAGAAGAGCTGGAATGTCTGTCACAGGAGGATTTTTGAGGAGATGGGAATCTCCAGCATCTCATGTAACTTTCACATCCTTCATTTTCTGAATACCTGCTGTTTGAACTGGATTTATAACTAAGGAAACTTCCACTAGAGTCTTTTCCACTGTCACTTATGTCACTGCTGCAGCTGGCCACATCTTGAATGGATCTGCAGTCATTTTGGTTTTCGTGTTTTTCCTCAGAATAAATTAAATGACATTTTGCAGCTTTAGACTTTTTAATCCTGGACATAAAAGCAGAAAAGGAAATATTTTCATTTCTAATGTTCTGTTTTTTTCTTTCACAGCTATGAAAACGATGCTTTAAAGGTCTTCTCAGTGTGGTTGTGTGAAGACTTTTTTCTGTCACACAATCCTTTTGTGAGACATCAAGGTAAGCAGGCACTTTGGGTATATTTTCATTCAAATAATCTGCAATGCATTTTTGACTATTTTCATTCATTTCTTTCCCGATGTCTGACTCAGCTTTTTGCTTGGCCTTTCTTGGATTTAGGGAACCTTTCATCTTCTTTGGTTTCAACAACTGATTATCTTGTTCATTTGACATTTGCTTGTGTTTTATTAAACCTGAGGCTTCATTTTCATCTGCAGTCTTATTTATAGAGTGTTCTTTGCAGCTTGCTTTGTTTGTTTCATGCTGTTTACCATCTCTGTGATTTAAAGAGAGTCTGAAGTCAAAATACAATGGATTACAGCCATATGAAATACAGGGCTCAGTTTTTGTAAACAAAAGTAATTCTGTGGGCCACTGCAGAGCAGTGGTGCCATCTTTGCTCACTACATGGAGGAATGGCAATGCCTGGGGCTTAACCTCTTTAACCATGGTCTCCTTTGGAAGTGTTTCCATACTCCCGTTTGTGGTTTCTGAACTCTCCAAAGATCTTTCTCTTTTTACCGCGCCAGGACTGTCATTGATGTTACTTGTGCATGCCAGCTCAGGTGCTGGCTGCTGTGAGAACCCAGGTAACCAGTCAGGCAGGCAGGTGTTGCTGTGCAGGTACGTGTTTGGCTGTGTACAAAAATTGCTAGCTTGGCATGAAGGTGAAATGAGAGTTTCTAAAAATTGCTCAGACTTACACAATTTTCTCTCTTGCTCTGTTTCTCTAAGTGAACCAGAAAAATCCAAACCTGAAAGCTGTATTTTGACTTTGGAAAATGAAGGATGAGCACTGATCTTTTCTTTGAGTTCTTTATCACTACTTTTATCATTTTCCTTTAGCATTTTAGGTTTTGCAGCTACATGACTCGATGCACAGTTATCCATATCCATTTGGCCTTGTGTAATAGGTGGCCCTTTATCCAAGCTGGCTTTCACATCCTCCTCCAAAAGTGTGCCAGAACAACAGCCCTCAAGAACTTGCTTTGTTTTATGGTTGGGGGATTCACTACAATCATTTCCTTCTTCAGAGTTCTCACTGAAGACTGATGCCGAGGACTCGAGCTTCAAAGGGACTTTTTTAGAGAATGAGAAAGACACTCCTGCCCTTTGAGAAGTATTGCTGCTATCTGGGAACACTTGTGAGACTTGATTTCCAAGTGCATGGGGTCTTTCAGTAGGGGACTGGTGCCTGCTTATGATAAGCTGCTGTTTCTCTGTTACGCTGTTGGAGAAACCTTGTCCTTCACTCGTGGTGGTTCTTTGAGAACTGACAGTGAACTTGCCACCTTTGTACAGGAAAATGCCATCTGGTGATTGCTGCTTTTCCATGACTAATCTGGGGGCTTTAAGCAATGGTCCAGTCCCAGTGATGCTGCAAGGTAATAAATAAAAAAAAAAGAAAGCTGTATTAAGTAATCAAGTTAAGACAGAACTCACATTTCACCATGTCTGTCTGGTAAAGAAGGGTGTCACTCATGCTGTTACGAGGGAAAACTACATTCCTAAAGTTTCTAAAGGGTAAATGTGCAGTCTAGCCCTGAGCTTGGGCTTCAATATGGGCAAAACAGTCTTTACATGTAGGAAATTATATCATTTGAAGTCAGCACATGAATGCTCTTTTTCAGAATTTTGCCCATGTACATCCAGAATAAACAATATTGTCTTTACTTTCCATTTAAGGAGAAACTGGCTGTGGTAAGTCTTGGTTTTCTGAGAGTTCATTGCAAAGGCAATTGTGCCTTGTTCAAAATGAGACACTTCCACCTGGATCATCTGCAGAATCAAACTCTCAAAGAGAAAAGGCAGCATTCTGCTTGCTTGAGGAAGGCTTATGTACGATATTTTTAAGAGTATATTTTTATTTTATCTTTATATTATTCCACAATAAATGACTTTGTGAAATATTCAGAGGTATTAATGCTAAAACTATCACCAAACATTGATGGGGAAAGGACACAAGGTGGATTTCCATCAATACTAATGGCAACTTCAGTGCTCTCATTATTAACAATCACTTGACTTACTTTTTGCTGTATTTTCTCATTCTGTATTCTACTTTCCTTAGTTACATTTTTCCTCTTCCCAAGACCTCTCTGATTTTAAATCTGTGGTTTAGTTTTCTTGTACTTTTAAAAAAAAATCAACTTACTCTAAGAAGGCCGTAACACGGTAAATCATTGATTTCTTACAATAGATAATTAATTGAGATTGGAATGACTGTTGCCATTTTCCATTAGAGATGGAACATATATAGTCGCCTTACAAATGTTATTCCAAGTAATATTTTAAACATGTATTTCATTAGACCTATTATCTACGTTTGCAATCAATGTGGTACTATAGTACGCTTACATAAAAAAATTTTGGAACCAGCTTCAGTAAAAAGTTTGATCAAAAATTAGAAAATATTTTAACTAAATGTAAGTAAATCATAACTGCCAGATCTGCATAACAACTATCTACAAATACGCTATCATGTTTTATAAATGCTATAAAAGTGCATTGATCTTCAGCAGTGGGAATGACGTAAAGACTCCCTGGAGTAGGGTCAACTTGAAGTATGAGAATATGTATGCATTTCTGAGAATATATTTGCATTTGCCACAAGTTTGACTTCAGGAGTTACAGATTCACCCCTATTTGTACATCAAGAAGAAATTATCTCTTGGAGAGGGCATGTAAAGAGACCCTTTTCAAAGTCTCCTTGGAACAGCAAAATAAAGCTGCATTTTCAGTTTTTCTGTGCACGAGATCAACAGTAATTTTTTTGTCAAATTGTATTAGCTTGTTGTAAGGAACTCTGTTGGAACCTGAGACAGAGTTCCAGCTCAGGGACAATAAGAAGTGTGTGTATGTGTGTGTGTGTGTGTGTGTGTGTGTGTAGACTTTTGCTTAGAAAGGCTAACTTTCTGTTTTACTTTAGCAACTGGGAATGCTACCCCTCTGCCAAGATCACAGCTGTCAGTCACCCCTGAACCTGTTAGTCATTACAAACAGGAATAGCAGGCACTGTCTTTTCAGGCTCTTTGTAAAGGATTACGGACTCCTGTCTCTTTCTAAGAGCAAACCCACTTTTTCCCTCCCAATCTCACTCTGACTTTCCTATTATCACTGACCTTATCGGCCTGAGACTGGATCTTCAAGTGTGGGGGCATAAAGGCATCCTCCCACAGGCAGTTAGCATTTCTTTCAGTAGATTTGTATGAACATAGAGTTGTAACCATAAAGGTGATACATTAGCACTAAACTGTTATATTTCAGCAGATTGCTCAAAAGCAATTACATAGGCCAAAACGAGTGTATAATAAACTCTGAATGTTATTATTTCCAGGGCAGAGTAAGCTTGATATGAATTTAAAAGGATGCCAGTTGAATTATCTACTTAACTCATTACAGTCATAGATTAACATAAACAATTGGTCTGATGGCAATCTATTCTACTGAAGCATTCAGTGTCATTAAACAAAGGAGATTTCTCAAATATAAAAGTTTATTAGTGCAAACTTGTACTTTATCTTGATATTCATCAACAGAGCTAACAGTATGGGATAAACTGAACTCAGTTAATTACTTATTTTTCATTCACATAATGGTACTTCCATTACTCTATGGAGAAACTATGAGAATAATCTCACTATACTAAAAGTAGTGAAAATGATTCACAGACTAAGCACAGATGCTGTGAAAGGTGTTTTTCCTCTCCTGTTCACTTACTATCAAAAGATAAGACAGTTATACTAATCTATTCAGGTCAGTTTGAATAAGGTAAAATGGTGATATTATAAAAATATCTTCAAACCACTCAGTTCAGAAGAGATGAAAATAGCTACAGGAGAGAAAAACACAAACCTTCAAATAGCAAGTAATGAATTCAGGGGCTTTCAATTTTATGGTTTGCAGAACACAAACATATGGAGTTGAGGACAGCTGAAAACAGGTTACAGTATACACGATCTCTGTACATTACAGACTGTAGGAGTAAAAATATGGAGATTTCTTCTGGGACTGAGGACAGAGAGCATTAAAATGTAATATAAATTTTAAATACTTGCCATTCTGACTGCTTCCGTAACTCTGCAAGCTGGTGGAGCCGCTTGAGTGCTTTTTCCTGTTTCTTCTCATCTTTCCATGACTTTGAAGCCACATTTCGAGCAAATTCCCTTTGTTTTAAATCTTTCAATCTCTGTGTGAAAAGAACAAAACAAGAAGGGATTAAATATGTACACAGCAGATGCATTTCCTCTTACTCAATTTATTTGCTTTTGGTGAAGTTAGTATGTAAATAGAGAGTGAAAATATACTTAAAACGCTATCATCCTAAGAAAAGATTGGAAATACTATTTTTGCCTAACAAAACAACATGACTGGGCCATCACTATTCAACTGATATATACCTACATATGAATGGTAGCTTTTTAGTTTGTTTTGAATACACAAATCTCTTGTGTACAAATACATACACAAAACTAGACTCCACTTAATGTAATTGAAATTTTCCTATTTAATTCAGTCAGTAGGAATTTAATCCACAGGCGTATACTGGAACAAAGCTGAGCTCGTGTGTGTAATGTATTTTATAGATCTCTATACTTGCACATGTATGCATGGAGGTATATGTGCTTTGGCGTTGGTTTTGTAGCTTTTTAAGACTACATTTTTTTTCAAAGGTGAGAATTACTGTCTGAAACATTTGATCAGGAAACTCTTTTACAGTTATTTTCACATTTTTTTTTAATCTCCTTGAACATCTATAAATCAGTTAGTTCCTGTTGGAGAGAGCAAAATTCTTTGCCTTTATTACATTTTTTATTGCCTGGTTTTGCACTGCTGATAGTATTAAAAAAAAAGTGAAGAAGACACAAACCAAAAAGTGTCAGAAATATCCTCTGTAAAAAAAAGCACTGCTATCTCACCTTTGAGTTCACTGTGCCCTCTAGGACTCAGCAGGTCACGTCCAACTTTACAACTTCCCAGTTCAGGTCCATGCTTCCATGCTCCATGTCAGAAATGCCTTCCTCCTCCCTTCACCACCTCTCCAGTGCTGTGGTGTTTGGGGAAGGCAGATTTACAAGCCAGAAGGGATCTCTGGTGCATTCAACCAGATGCCCAAACTGGAAACCTTGAAGACCAGGACTGAGAACTAAACTGCTGCATCCACTTGGCCCTTGGTGTGGAGGTGGCCCTATGCTCTTCCATGAAATTCAGAACTGTAGTATCAACACCAGGAAGTGCTAAATTTTCCATGGAGCCTGTTGTTTTTGCAAGCTACACTTGAAGAAAGGCTTTGGTATATCAGTCATTTTTAAACTGTTGCTCAGCTGCCAGCATCTATGCCTACTTGCCTGTCCACCGGCACCTAAAGATCAACATTCTAATCACTGCCATCATCTCATGCTGTTGTTTCCCTCTAGCATGGCCAAAAGTGCAACATGCATCAGTAGGATAAATTGGAGGCTGACCCAGCATTGTAGCAGCAAATACTGCTTTCTGCAGCTCAGGTATGTGAGGCAGTCTATCCATGGCACAGAACTCTGCCCAGGCCAACAGCCATGCATGTTTGAGAAACAGGGCTGAAGGCAGGGGGTCTTCAGCTTGTAGGGATCAACAAAATGATGAATGCATGACAGAGAACTACCTTCTGGAGAGAGGTCTAGCTTTTGTCAGTAAATGAAGACAAAGCAAATAGATGAAAACCACTGTGTGGTTGTTTTATACAATCTAAAGAAGTGGCAGCTTTTTTTTTCTCCAGCTAAAATGAAGTCATCCAGTTAGTGGCCATGACATAATATGACAGGGTTCATATTTATGTTCTGTGAAGAGTGCTGAAAAGCTGTAGTGGGTATCTCCCACCACTGTCACATTAGCTGTCCTTTAAGTATGGGATTTTTTAAAGAGCCAGATAGCATCTGTGAGAGAAAAATAAATAAATGCTGTGAGACTGAGAACAGAAGTTTTTTGTTTGCTCTCAGCCCTCTGGACCCCAAGACGTGTGCCTCTGGACACTGATCTGGAGGCACGGAGAGCTGGGCTGCCCACAAATCAGATGCTCAGGGAGCTTTAGGGCTGGCTCTCAACAACTCTAATGTCTCTGCACAGGCAAACTCCCTTGGATTGAGGACAAGAAGGCCTGAAAGGCAGTTGCTCAGGGAACTGGTGCACCACCAACCAGCAAGAACCATCCCACCACCCGGTGCTCCTTGAAAGTTTAACGTATTCATCAGAAATATTTACAGTCTGTCAAATCTGTATGTTTCTCTGGAAGGTTTCTATCAGCTCCAACATCTAGTACTTCGCTGAACTAGACTGAAACAGGACAGCTGCAAAGTCCTCTTTAAAGCTCTCAGGCTTCAGTTCCTTGGAGAGAAATGGTTGCTCCACTGCATTTTTAGCTTTTTTGTGTCCCCTTACATGCCCTCCCTCACTGTTCACTTGCCCCTTGCCAGGCCAGTCATATAGCCCTCCATTCCCTCAACCTCATTCCCTGCAATCTACAGTAAAATGGATGAATATGTAAGAACAATATTACTTCTGGTCCAAGAAAGAAGCTTTTAAAATAATACGTAAAGCCATAGCTGTAAAAGAAATCAGAGAATCTTACCAGAATGAATCCACAGTTTCTGTCACCTAAGCAATATTTACAAGAGTGTAGAGATATTTAAGCAGTAAAGGTCTTATCCTCCACAGAAAAACATAGGTAGTCTTGAGTCTTATTAACATCTTCAATGTGAAGAAAGGGCAAAGAAATACATTTGAGAAATGTCCTTTAGCGCCGCTTGCTATGTTTTAGCTGTCATCGTGAGCTGTTCAGCATCACACATAAAGCATTCATGAGGAAAACCAGAAACAGTTTCTACTTGTCAAGGAAACAAAGAACAACGTGAAAGCTAGTACTACGGAGCACAGGTACTGCAAAGCAGTGCCATTTCAATTCTTTGACAGTTAGGATGATAATCAACAAAGCAAATGGACCAACACTAAGAATAGAAGTTCTAGCAGTATTTTTTGCTCTCTAATGGCATACAGCATGTGTCAAGGAAGTAGGGAAAAGAATAAAAAAAATGTAGGTAAGCATAGTGAAGGACTCATCAACTGGAGACGAAATCCAAGAAATCAAAAGCATCTACAGTCTGAGCAGAGGAAGAGCTCTCCCTGCACATCCCCTCATCAAAACAAAAAAAGCTGCACTGTCAGAGCTCCAGTTAGGAATCATAATGAAGTTTGTCAGCTATGTCGGATA